ACTACAAAAATCTATCTGGAGATGGTTAGTCATTTGAAAAATTGATCGGCCTATTTTAGGTATTCCGGTCCATGCAAGTCAGCCAGCTAGCCAAATCCTGGTGAACTGAAGTAATTCAGCTGTCTCTTTGAGGTGAATTTGTCTGAGTACACCGCTGGTGATGAACTCAGTGGTACTACTGTGTACAGCGAGTTATATGCTTCTCACATTTTCCTATGCTATCAGACTTTCGCCTGATAATCTCACCTCGTTATGATCCAGTTATATCTAAGCATAGTAGTGATTTTCTGAACCACATGGTTCATGCAATTCATGTCTAACACTGACCTGGCACATGGCTGATTTCGCATAATACTTGCCATGTATTATATACCGCAACTCACTCACAGGATGAGTTATCCAACTTAGCTTCCTCCCAGCCACCCACGCACTCTTGCATAACAGAATGTCAAAGTCTGATGCACACTGACCTTGGGATCTTGGCGCTATCTCAGTCATCTGTATATTGCACGACTAAATGCCCCGCTCAGCGTGATCCGTAAGAAACGAAACAAACGGTTTCATGGACATGAAATGAGATAATTGATTGACATCACTCAATACGCCATTATTTCTGTACTATAAGTTATGCAGAAATGCGTTTGTGGTCAGACGAAAGCTCTCGAACCAAGCAATGATGCTGCCGAATAACTCGTAAGTAAAACTTTTTTTAAATCAGTAAAATAATTCAGCTGATAATACTAAACTTTCCTTTCTGCAGCCAGTATATAAGAGATCCTAGTTACCTTTCTGAACTCAAATGATGACCGAAATTGAGTCACTTCAGCGCATTGGCGAATGGATCAGCTTCATTAAGACTACTATTCGTTGGTGAAAGTAATTTGTGCATCTTTCTGTCAATCCATTTATCTACGAGCAACTGGTTATAGTATGAGTTAAATTTAGAGGTAAATAATTACAAATATTCAGGTGATGAAGTCAAAAAATATCCTTGGGAAAAGTTTTTTTACCCAACTTGCATGTAAATGATGTGAGCCTACACTAAATGCCAATTAATTTGAGCTGTAGAAAGCAGTATTAGAAAAGAGGAATATGAAAGATACTACTAGTCAACGACTTGAGTAGTGACAAACTGCTCGGCCTTCTGGTTTGAAGATTTCATCAGCCAGACCAGAGTGATCTAAATAATACAGGAGGTCTGTTTCACTCGTTTCGACCCCATCTAATCGCCTGATGTATACATGGGAAACTTCAGCCGATAGAGGCCAGTCCAAAACGAGCGAAACAGCCGTCCGGTGTTTAGGTCACCCTCATATGACCGGCGAAAAACTGCAGATCAGCATCTTCAGTGGTTTCCAACTACTCAACTTGTTCAGTAATAGTGGTAGTAGTAGTAGTAGTAGTAGTAGTAGTAGTAGTAGTAGTAGTAGTAGTAGTAGTAGTAGTAGTAGTGCGAGTAGTAATAGTAGTGATTTTCTCTATTTCATGACACTTTTGTGTTAGAGATCACACCACACACTACCATCTGGACTGACTGGCAGGAAAGATGTCTGTTAACGTTATCCTGCTTATACCACACTTGGATGACCGATTGAAAATCTACTCAGTCGTAAGAAATGTGTCGATTTGGACCGTGGACAATTTGTAAGTCATTATAAACTGATCACTCTACTTAAGGAACAATAGGGTTATCTCATTTAGTACAGTCCATAGAGATGCAATTCTAAACCTCCGCATTCAACTCAGCTCATGGAAATGGCAATATCGGCAAACCACTTTTGAGAGAAATTAATTTTCCTACCAACATGTTACCATATACTACTTATGTGTGTTCCTATAAGTAGCACATAATGTAGTAACTGAAAGTCTTTTCCAAATGTTATTTATACTGAAAGCCTTCAATTTTTCTCTTTAGATTTTCATCCCAGTTTTATATGTTTCGTTTCTCGACATGGATTCTCTAATCTGCCAGTCAGTCTTACCTTATAACTCGAAGATTTAACCTGGCCTACTGTTAGTAACATCACAGATAGTACGAACTGAAATATATGTATGGATTACAGCGTAAAGGTTCCTTGTATATATCTTGGTCACTAGCACTGAAGTGAAGCTTGAGACACGTTTCGTCCCGTCTGAGACTCATACGTCAGTTGGATGTACCTACACTCTAGTGAGACTCGAACCCGGAAACTTTCACTTTAAACGTCAAAGCGTTATCCTTGTAGACGCTAGTATCTAAACCTCTGTCTTGCTTTCATTTAACCGTACTTTGGGATTAGGATTAAATGTCCCTAGGAACAATCGTGGATATTGGTTGTCCTATGGCTACTCCATCTGTTTTTATTTGAATATATTGGCCCTCGTAAAACAACTTATTTCACTGGTACCCTGGTCCTAGTGTAAGCAGTTGACCAGGGTTGAGTTCATTCGTTTCCCTTCCGGATTTTTTGATCCTATAGGTCACTCATTCTCACTCACTCACTAGAGATATTCATCTCTAAGTACGTCATCAGTGGACAGTAGAGAGTAATTTAGTTTGAAGTTTGTGAGGACTGATCTGGTTCAGAAGCAGGAAACTATGAACCGACATAGTGGCTCGCTGAGTTGCCTGGAAGTTCTGAGTTAGATCCGTAGCGAGATTGTGGGTTCATTCTGCTGAGAAGTCCCATACCAATAGAAAGAAACAGCTGTCCAGTGCTCCCTGCGTTTCTGTGGTTCTTCAACTGGTGTCAGTTCGTGTTCAATGCTACTCCAAAATAAAAAGAATAAAACGTTTTTAGATCAACCTTAGTAATAAGGGTGAATATTACCGCGATAGGAAAAACTATGTGGGAGGCCCGAAATTTTTGAATGACTACTGCTTCAAGAAGCCTAACTATGCTCCCCTGTCAGTTTTTTCAGAAATCTTATGACGGTGATGGTCGTCTTCCACCTGCGTTTATCGATGTGTTGTGCAGCCATTTCGGCACATGTTCCCCACTCTCAAGTGCATATCTCGATTAATCCTCCTCACGTATGTATATCAACAAATACACACATGTAAACTGGTACACGCAATGGGATGGGCTGCAGAATGTGTTTGGTCTTCTCAACTACAATAAGCCAAGTTTAGTCTGTTGATTAGATTTGTTACACAGTGAAACAGTATTACCAGCTGGCTAACGTTTCATTGAGTCACATACCGAATAAATAGACTAAAATGGAATTACAATCTACCACAGTGCCCAAGTTTTACTCCTATATTAATGAAATATATGGTCTTCTTGTTTGAAGACTAATCAACAAACTCATACAATAAGCCTAGCTGGATGCTGTATTTTGCTAATGGTAGTGGTAACGTTCAGACCACGGGTTCGACCCCTGGCGGGGTCATGGGTCCAAACTGCTGGGGAGTCCCATACTAGGACGAAACAGCTTTCGAGTGCTTCCTGGTTTCTTATGTCCCTCCAACTGATTTCAGTCTATGGTGAGTACCAACCTGAAATCCTGGCCATGCTTATAGGGGACTTCCCATTGCTGCGCCTTCTATTTATTGGAAATGTTCTCCTTTATATGTGAGGTGAAGCCTATCAGTGTGCAATAATACCAGCTCCTGCAGTCACGTCGAAGGGATAGGGAATCAGAAATCACTGGAAGATAGATGCTCACAAAGAATGTCAGCGGTCTTAGTTAGCTGTAGGTGGGTGAATAAAGAACTTCTGCTAACCATTTTGTCAACTTATGTATTTTTGTAATCATATTTGTTGTTTATCATAACCATAGCTGACCGGCTCCTTGCCAGGTTACAGAATTATTATGCCGAAACTCTTTTAAGGCTCTGAAATGTTGTCAAAAGAGTAGGCTTTCTTGTCATGGATATGAACTAAGGAATTGACAGGCAATATCCCCCGGCTAAACCTTCATCCAACTCTGATGATACAAGGGGAACACACCTTGAAGTGATAGAGTGAAATGAAACGAAATATGCTAACGATGCCACCGAGATGTGACATTTGGAGTGGAAACGAATAGCCACTGTTCTTCCTCACTGAAACATGAAACAATGAGTGAAATGCAATGCCTTCTATCTTATCGACTGATGACTTAAACTGTTGACTTTCATTTACTGTGTTTCTTGTCCATACTGAAAAAAATGGAATCCAAGGAAAGTTGGCTATTTTGCATCCATCAAAAGTTCAACGGATGACAAATTGTTCCAGATTAATTGGGAATAAGCTAACAGGATGGATACCTCGACCAGTTTTTTGTCTTATCCTTTCCTACGTCTGATCGATAACAGAAGTACACAAATTAATGAAACTGATACAGCAAATTATCAAAATATTGAACAGATTTCAAATGAATCATGAAAATGACATTTAACCTTCTAGTATTCTGTAGTCGAGATGGTTCGACTTATCTCCCTCAAGTACGGTCCCATTCAGAACTGTTTGAAACATACTACTGACTGATATAAGTAGTTGTCGACCAGTCACACCGGTCACTAGTACTTTCTACTCGTAGAAATATCATTCAATCCTTTCGCTCGTTTTTGGGAGAGGTCATCAGCAGTGTGCTGTGGTTGATTCAACTCAGACGGCCGAACTGTTTAAACCATCTAGATTTCATTTGCGAAACACACAGAAATATCACCATGGTTTCGACGTCATAATCGGTATCAAATCGCTAGTCGGAGCACTGGGTGGGGGATCGAACAATTTGGCTGTCTTTGCTGAACCGATCCGGAGGCACTGCTGAGGATCTTGATCCTGATCCACTAAAACCACCTTCATCTGACCAGTGAGTGGTGTAGAACTATTTATATATCAACTAGTAGTATATTCGAACTTGATAAAAGTCTGAAATCCATTCACGTATACATTATTATTATTATTATGGATTTTTAGACTTCGCTTACCAACTTTACGGAACAATTCAGGGATTACAACACTCTCCAATATCAACCAGTTCACCTATGAACCAGTCTCTACTACTAACACCCACATTCCCCCATTTGTCTAATGATCAAAGAACGATTCAGTTATTACGTAATTTCGCTAGCTTACTAACAGATCAATATACAGAGCAGTGTGAAACATTGAAACCTACAAAAATCCAGAATCTGCTCATTTATATGATACACTATCAAATACTAATAATAACTCTGTTGATATAATTGATTCTGGTGTCAAGTGTAACTATGGCAACAGTTGTCAACACGACTTATATGAATTAAAAAAACCAACATTTATGCTTTCAAGTTTACTAGAAAAACCAGGATCCGATTGCAGCATCACAGGAACAACCCTGACAGCAACAACAAAACTAACCTCATCAATAGGTGTACTATCATCAAATGATCTGAACACAAGACAGACATCATCAGCGGATTCGTCGACTTGCATAGCATATTCACAGTATAAGGATAAATTACGGTGTCCATTATTTTCAAAGTCATCGTCTGGATTCCCTTCACCTCCTGCACAATGTACATTGAATCGTCTATTGCCTTGTTACTTAAATTCATCACCATCACTATCAATTACTTCAAATTGTGAAATTATGAAGTCAGGATCCCTTCATCATCATGATGGTATGTGTGATGGGGAGGATACCAGCTCGTTGGACGTCATTTCCATCAATTGATGAGTGCTGTTTCTCTTCCGACGAAACCATCTCCATAACTGTTTATCTGCATGCATATTAAACAACAATAAAGGGTCTTTACAAAATTATCCTAATTCTGTTTTCCATTAGATCAGATACCAATAAAGATGATCTGAATCAGTACTGAACATTAAACATTTTACAGTTTTCAATGTCTCCAATGGTCCAGTTAAACAATTTTGTATGTGCATGACACCTACGCAACGTATTATCGATCTTCAAAAGTGTTCTGTGAACTTGGATTTTAGTCGACAAACGTTTCATTGTCATGCCAGACCTCATCGTCAACGGTGGATCAGGACTTCAGTGGTGACAAGTCACCCGGGAACATTCATCGTCCCGTCGACACACACACACACACCTACAGAAATATACTTCATTTCAGTGATATTGTTTCACTTTTTCTCTTTTTTTTAGAATATTATAATAAGTTTTTGATTGAAATTTATTAAAAATAAAATGAATTTCATAATGTGATTAGCTGGTATGAAGAAAATAAATTGAATATTGGGGACAGTTACATTATGTTTGTCAGCAGTTTCTATGAGGTACCGTGTATCTGCTATGCGCCATATGTGTCTGATGGGTTCGGTACAAGCCAAAACCGGAAACTGTAAGTGCTAACCTCGAAATCTATGACCTTTGCAGCAGCGATGTCTTTCGTGCCCTAGTGGCCTCGTGGATAACGCTCCCGAGTTTGGAGCGATGGATACTGGGTTCGAGAGCCGGAGGGCACACCATGACTCACTATGGGGTAAGTACATCCAGCTGACGAGCCTCAAACATGGTGAAATGCTGGTGTCATGGATTCCACTACCGATCATCTGGTGAATGCAACATCATGAATATGCCGCAGTAACGAGGCCTCCGCAAAGCAGCTCATCTGCCAACAGAGGTCAAGCAATTCGACCTTGTATATCAGTAGGAAACTACAAGTATCAGTAAGCAACAACTGACACTAGTTACACAAGAGGTGGCTGTCGTACGCCCAGAGACCTAGTGGATAACACTTTGGCGTTGAAAGTGATGGGTGCTGGGTTCAAGTCCCAGTGGGAACAACATAAGTTACTGAGAGGCGACTATATTCAGCTGACGAGTTTCAAATGGGACGAAGTGCGCGTGTTTTCGATCCCACTTCTAACCACTATCCATTATTATGGTGAAACTGAAATTATCAACATTCTGCAGACATCTACACAGGAATCTATGTGCCAATAATGGACGAAAAATTAGCAGCCCCAAGGAAGTTTAGTCAATGTGCAATAAACTATGTACCCGGTACTAACACACTCCTGTTAGTAAGATCTTCATGGTGGTATATTGTTGGGCAATACAGTGTTATCATACAAGGAAGGCACCTCAGAGACATTAAGTAGGATTCTCTAGTAGGCTGGGATTATGGCAGTACTCAAACCTACAAACTCACTTAGAAGTAAGCTTTGCAGGTTGGAAGACCCTACTGATCCAATTAGACAGGATAATTTAGTTTACCGAACCCCTTACAATGAGTGGAAAGTCAAATGTATAGGTCAAGGTGGTTGATCAGCGTCGGTCAGGCTATTGGAGCGCTAAAACATATCTGAATCAAGACTGTTAGACCTTAGATAAAGAACCTACAGGAAAGTTCGGCTATAATGCCTGTCATTCCACACTACTACTAACTCTATTTTGAGCAGAAGGCAACTCAAGTAATCGTAAGACACTCTTAAATCTCTCTATCAGACTTCTGGCATAAATCCATTAATCCCAATGAAAACAAATTAATAATCAATGATTTCACATGCACACCCACCCACGCACACTAACAGGCATGTGAACATAATTTTTAATTACACCAATTAGGATAATGGTTATCATGTTGACTGTCCCCACTACCACCCTCTTTTTTATCTACTCATCTATTGATTTATTTAGCTTTTTATTTTACTGTTTATCCCATTTCTATTTGTAGAGGTCTCTCTTATTATCATTTTTTTGTATTGTGATTAGCATGACAATACAATTATTATTATTGTTTGTTAGTGTCATAAATGGATATGGTTTCTGTAAAGATGAAAACCGTTTTTTTTGGCTGTTGTCAGTGTTGTTATTCTCTCTCTCCTCGACAGTATATCCATTGTACTCGTGATTACAATAATGGTGATAATAACGATAATGGCAGTTCCAGTAGTCTGTCTCTCCCCCTCACATCTCTCTCACTCACTCACTCATATCGCTTTCCTCTACACACTCATCTTCATCTACCCCTGCCACTTTTACTTGTCTTCCTCAGACCCTACATCTTCTCTAATTATCTGTTTCGCTTACACGTCTAGTAATCAGGCTGCGCTACTACTGATTTGATCGTTACTATTATTGTTAATTTGTAGGGCAGGGGGAGAGAATGGTACAGAGATTTTTCTGCATTGATTCCTTTTTATTAATCTTCCTTATTTTTCTATTCACAATATAATTGATAATGGTAAATAAGAGCTTTTGTCACTACTATTATTATTGATACTAGTGGTAGTAGTAATAGTGTGGGTATTAATGAAATTGCCAGTAAAACATCAACACCACCACCACCACCACAAAGCAATCAGTAATTATGATTCTATGCTTGATAATAAAGCTGATAATATGGGAACAATATAATAGCCATAACAATAGTAATGACAACGCTATTGGTTACACCTACCCCATTGTGCTACCAACTCCATAACTATAGCGTCAAAACATATTTGTTTTCAATTGTTTTGTTGTCCTGTTGAAAATTATTTTCCATTTAGAGATTGTTTTGGCTCATTATTTCATTCATTTACTATTATAAATGAGTGAGGGTGAGGGCTTGTGGGTGGAAGCTTTATCCCCCCTCTGTCACTCTCCTCCGCGTCACTACAATGTTATTCACACATACATATGCACACACACATGCTACATTACGATGACTTAACAATAATAGGATAGTATTGTATACATGTACTTATATTCTTTTCTATTTCTAAAAGCCATAAGTTGTATCGACTATGCTTGGTTCTATTTTAATCCTTGATTGGCTAATTGCTTGTTTTAATGCATAGAGGTCACACGCATGCGCGCGCACACACACACCGGCGCCCATTCTAATTTTATCCTTAGCATGTGCGTTACTCGCTAGTTAAATTTCACCATCATGTGTGTGCCTGTGCGTATGTCCGTGTGTGTGTACATGTTTGTTACAAAATAATAATGACCAAAATATGAAATGACAAAAAAAAAATTGCATTAAAATACTTCAACTGACAAAGCACAATATGCATGATCAAGGGAAAAATGATTTTCTGACAAAAAGAAAAGGAATAAGAAAGATAAAACTGGAAGACAGAAGTTGAGAGAATAACATGTAAATAAAAGACTTGTTTTACAAAAGGATAGCAAAAGCAATGTCTGAACTCACTAACAACATTTCATTATAGAATAAATTTGTCCTCAATCTGAAGGTTAATGGAGATTGATTGATTTCAAGGCGGTATTCATCATGGAATGACATCAGTTGGAGAACCATTGAGAACCTAAGATCGCTGGATAGCTGTTTTGTCCTAGTACGGGACTCCTCAACAGTGTGCACCCATGACTCGACTCCTCTAGGGATCTAACTTAAGGCCTCAGGTTTCCTGACTAGCTGGTTACCATTCAACCACCGGGTTAGCTTCCATTTGTCCACATTTTTATACTTCTGTCAATTCGCGATATAGTATGACCTTCATCCAATGTCTCAAGTTCAAATTGGTTTGCCTCAACAATCACGACTTCTGACTTGAACTTTGGTAAATCTCATTTCGAAGCAAGTAAATCTGTAGTGAGTGCTGTTCAGTAATTCAGTTATGTCTGACTGAATCATAACATTTCATGGTCATACCTGTAACCCTGTTTCAGTTACTGATCCCACTCTCTTCAAATAATTGATCAGCGATTACAATTAAGTTGATTTTGGAGCTTTTTATTCCCTCTTTTTGACTGATTTGAACCGAATTGACAAGCCTCTGTTGGCATATGGGCTTCTGTGTCAGTACTGTAATGTAGCTAGACTGGCTTTTCGTTCAACTTGTAACTCGTCAACAGGATGTGATGTCAGAACTCAATGGCTCATCGCATAACGTTCTGGCATTTGAAGCGATAAGTGCTGGCTTCAAGTTTCAGGGCAGAAATGACCAATCACTTGACGGAAGGCATATCTGGCTGGTGAGCATCAAGGACTCACTTTCACTTGTGACATTCAAGGAAAAGTACTCCAGCTTCCTATTATCTCATGAATTTGTAGCGCCAAAGTAAATTCTAAAAATGAATAACCTGGTTGATGTTCAGCGAAGATGATTAACATTGATACTGACATTCGTAGTTTAAAGGAACGTGTTAGGCTGAAGGAACGTGGTCAAACATCCATGTCATTTGGCACATGGTTGTGTCACACTGCGTCTGTCTCACATAATCCCCTAGACAAGTAGTTCACCTATCTCGGTATTCTGGTTCGATCCATGAAATAAATGATTCCCATCTGGCTATGCCATAGGTCTCGCATGGGTATTATACAGATATGAAAAACGGTTGAACAACTGGAAATGTCAGAGAGTGAAATGCCTTTTTCTCTGTATTTGTTAGGAGCAATATTTATTGGTAATTTTCAAAGTCAGATGGTGAATAATATTCTACATTGGTGCAGGACATTTGTTGTTGAGGCTGAAAATGTTCAGACTGTGTTGTTATGCAGGCTGGAGTTTTGCTTAGCAAACGTCTCACTCTCACGTAAGACATTTTCAACTGTACATCACAACTTCACAGGGAAGTGAAAGAATAGACTGTGCATATATATATATATATATATATATATATATATATATATATATATATATATATTGATCAGAAGCAACTTTGCCTACAATCAATCTAATCGTCCGTTCATCGTGAGTATTTTCAACCTAATTGGTTGAAGTTCTGCTTTCTCAGAGAAGGGCATGCAACTATGTTATTGGTTGACTTCGTTTGTTTGCAAGCAGTAGGTTAAGGTTGCTTCCAAGTGATTGGCCTATCTTGTTTACCTAAATGGATGGAAAGCGATTTTCTTGATCTGATCTACTGAAGGGGGATGCTTCACTCTCGTTGGTGGGTTTGCTTCATCTGATAAATGGTTTATATTGACTGGTTACTTTGCTGCCAAACAAAAGCGCAACCAATCACAACTAAGCGATTTCAACGTATTGTTCACAAACAGACAAAGTCAACCGATTATATAATTGCACACCCCGTCTAAGAAAAGCAGAAGCAAAACGTCAACCGGTCAGGCAAAAATGAGCCTATGCACTCAATAAACGGTTAATCA